AGTTACAAGCATGACTCACAAAGGCAGAGGCACGATGGGACTTGTAGTTCACCAACAACTGGAGGGCCACAGTTGCCCACCCCTGGCCTAAGAGGTTCCAGCGGTGAACTTATTTTTAACATCAAGTTTTGCAAGAGAGGCTTATGGTGAACATTCCATGAAAAAATCCAGTGTTTTGTTTTTGTTTTTTTTTTTCTCAAATTTTTATTGAAATAAATTTTGTAAGACATATTCATTACCGCTATCATGTGTAGTGATATCAGCAAAAAAATCCAGTGTTTTTGAATGACGTAGGCGCTTTAGGGAGGAGCAGGATGATGTCCATGATGCAAGAAATGGGCAGCCAAAAACGCAAAGGACGCAGGCAAATGTGGACGGAGTGCAAAACCCTTGTATGCTCAGATCAAAGACTGTGTGGATGATGGCAGAAGAACTGAACGTGAAAAGAGAAATCGTATGTACTCTCCAGCGCCTCAGGATATGCACAGCCAAAAGGGAAGCCAAGGGTACCAGGACAGCGACAACCAAAGGAAATGTTCTAGGGGTGCAGCCCTCCTCAGACAGGGAAATCAGCCACTGGATAGAGAGAAAACATGTGGCGCACACACCTAGTGCATTATCCAAGGTTTATTGTAGGAATGAAATAATAAAAACATACTCACAGACGAAGCATGTATCTAAAAAGCATAGAAAAATGACAGTGGCCACAGAGCTGATGACCAGCCTCTGATGCTGATGTATGGACAGAAAGAGCCTCGCTGTTGATGCCTGCAGGTTGGTCATCAGCTCTGAGGAAAGGGATTCGTCCCCGAAACGCGTCAGCCATTTGACCGCACTGACAGTGAGAACACCTTGCCCGCCGTTGTGGCCATTGTCATTTTTCTATGCTTTTTAGATACATGCTTCGTCTGTGAGTATGGTTTTATTATTCCATTCCTACAATAAACCTTGGATAATGCACTAGGTGTGTGCGCCACCTGTTTTCTCTCTATCCAGTGAAAAGAGAAATAGTGCGGCAGATTCTAACACAGGAATTGGGAATGAGAAAGATTTCTACTAAGATGGTGCCTGGAATCCTGACAGAAGATCAGAAAGAACGTCCTCTTCACATCTCATCCGATCTTTTGCAGAATGCAGAGGTTACTGTCCTGGGAATGAAGTTGTCACACATACAATAGGCAGCAGTGAGGATTCATCTGTTCGCATTGTTTAGCATGGTTGGGGGAATGTTTGGATTTCTTTGTGTAAGGCCAGCTTATGCTATGGCTGTATTATGCCATCCTCACAAACTTCTGCTTCCTAAGTCATTTGTGAATGTTCTGATGCCCTCTTGTATCACCCCTGGGACCTCCATCCTTGTGTTCTCCACATCCCCATCTTACCTCTGTATTATCTGCTACACTTTCCTGTGCAGTTCTTCTATGCATCAGTCCAGTTTTAATTCTATGAATTGAATCCTCTATTTCAGGTGTGAAGCGAGGTGATATCATTTTCCAACTATGACGTCACTGGTAGGTGTCCTGCAGGAGTTTGGAAATTTTTAAAAAAAAACTACTTGTCCAAGGACCAAATCTGGGTCCAATTTACCTGTCCCACAATATACTTGTCCTGATGATAATGAGAAAAAGAAAATTTAACAAAAACCTAATTTAAATCTGAGATGCTTTTAGGAATGTCTGGGGCTTTATGGGCAGCACAGTGGCTAAATGGTTAGCACTTCCACCTGGCAGTACTCAGGTCGTCGGTTCGAATCCCAACCATGGCACCACCTGCATGGAGTTTGCATGTTCTCCCTGTGCCTGCGTGGGTTTCCTCCGGGTACTCTGGTTTCCTCCCACACTCCAAAGACATGCTGGTAGGTGAATTGGCTCCTGTCTAAATTGTCCCTAGTATGAGTATGTATGAATGTGAGTTAGGGACCTTAGATTGTACGCCCCTTGAGGGTTAGGGACTGATGTGAATGTACAATATATATGTAAAGTGCTGTGTAAATTGATGGTGCCGTATAAGTACCTGAAATAATAATAATTATGACGCCTTAAACATTTTTTTTTTTTTTTTTTTTAACATTGGGCTGTATATCTCCTCCCATCCCTGTCTGTCTCCAGCACCGCACCCCGGGACTAGGAAGGAGAGGAGAGACAGTGTAATAAGCACCGATTGGCTGCTCCTCAGGAAAAGGTGCATGTCTGGCTTATCCTATATCCCTTTCGCTGCCAGAACCATTTTTGCGGGGGGAGTCTTTTTGCACACATTTAAATAACCATTTTAGGCTTGAAGATTACACTAAACCCCCAAACATATATTTTTTTGAAAGCAGAGACCCTAGGAGGAGGAAATGGATACCACACGCATACGCACAATCTCATAGGGAAACATGCACAGCTGAGGCTGTCGATCACAGGCTGTGTACTGAGGGACCCTCCCCGTCACCCTCATTTTCGGAGTCCACACAACCTGTCAGAATTGACTCATGGAGACAGCAAAGGAGCAATGCAGCGGACAGAAAAATCATACTCAGTGCTTTGGATAGTGGCAAGTACATACTATAGAGGGTAAGCCCCCCCTCTCAATCCAGCAATGTGCACTGAAGTCTCTGCCATCCTGGGACTCCCTCTCCTTATTGGCTGAGACAGCAGCGGGAGCCATTGACTCTTGTTGCTGTCAATCACAGCCAGTGAGTCAATGAGAAGAGAGAGGGGGCAGGGCCAAGCTGCGGCTCCATGTGTGAATGGACCCAGGGAGCAGCGAGCACCCCTCATAGCAAGCTGCTTGCTGATTGGGGCACCCAACAGGAGAGAGGAGCCAGGAGAGCCTGCGGGGGGCCTGAGAAGAGGAGGATCCGGGCTTTTCTGTGACAAACCACTGCACACAGCATGTGAGTATGATGTGTTTGTTATATATACAGTGGGGATCGAAAGTTTGGGCACCCCAGCTAAAAATTTGTATTAATGTGCATAATGAAGCCAAGGAAAGATGGAAAAATCTCCAAAAGGCATCAAATTACAGATTAGACATTCTTATAATATGTCAACAAAAGTTAGATTTTATTTCCATCATTTACACTTTCAAAATAACAGAAAACAAAAAAATGGCGTCTGCAAAAGTTTGGGCACCCTGCAGAATTTATAGCATGCACTGCCCCCTTTGCCAAGCTGAGACCTGCCAGTGTCATGGATTGTTCTCAATCATCGTCTGGGAAGACCAGGTGATGTCAATCTCAAAGGTTTTAAATGCCCAGACTCATCTGACCTTGCCCCAACAATCAGCACCATGGGTTCTTTCTAAGCAGTTGTCTAGAAAACTGAAACTGAAAATAATTGACGCTCACAAAGCTGGAGAAGGCTATAAGAAGATAGCAAAGCGTTTTCAGATGTCAATATCCTCTGTTCGGAATGTAATTAAGAAATGGCAGTCATCAGGAACAGTGGAAGTTAAAGCAAGATCTGGAAGACCAAGAAAAATATCAGACAGAACAGCTCGCAGGATTGTGAGAAAAACAATTCAAAACCCACGTTTGACTGCAGGATCCCTCCAGAAAGATCTGGCAGACACTGGAGTTGTGGTACACTATTCCACTATAAAGAGATACTTGTACAAATATGGTCTTCATGGAAGAGTCATCAGAAGAAAACCTCTTCTACGTCCTCACCACAAAAATCATCGTTTGAACTTTGCAAATGAACATATAGACAAGCCTGATGCATTTTGGAAACAAGTTCTGTGGACCGATGAGGTTAAAATTTAACTTTTTGGCCGGAATGAGCAAAGGTACGTTTGGAGAAGAAGGGGCACAGAATTTAATGAAAAGAACCTCTGTCCAACTGTTAAGCATGGGGTTGGATCAATCATGCTTTGGGGTTGTGTTGCAGCCAGTGGCACAGGGAACATCTCACGAGTAGAAGGAAAAATGGATTCAATAAAATTTCAGCAAATTTTGGATGGTAACTTGATGCCATCTGTGAAAAAGCTGAAGTTAAAGAGAGAATGGCTTCTACAAATGGATAATGATCCTAAACACACCTCGAAATCCACGGGGGATTACATCAAGAGGCGTAAACTGAAGGTTTTGTCATGGCCTTCACAATCTCCTGACCTCAACATAATTGAAAATCTATGGATAGACCTTAAAAGAGCAGTGCGTGACAGACAGCCCAGAAGTCTCAAAGAACTGGAAGACTTTTGTAAGGAAGAATGGGCAAAAATACCTCAAACAAGAATCGAAAGACTCTTGGCTGGCTACAAAAAGCGTTTACAAGCTGTGATACTTGCCAAAGGGGGCAGTACAAGATATTAACTCTGCAGGGTGCCCAAACTTTTGCAGACGCCATTTTTTTTTGTTTTCTGTTATTTTGAAAGTGTAAATGATGGACATAAAATCGAACTTTTGTTGACATATTATAAGAATGTCTAATCTGTAATTTGATGCCTTTTGGAGATTTTTCCATCTTTCCTTGCCTTCTTTATGCACATTAATACAAATTTTTAGCTGGGGTGCCCAAACTTTCGATCCCCACTGTATATATTATGTAATTATTATTTTATTTTATTTTTTTGCTAACTAAGCCTTTCAGATCACTTTAACTGGTCCTGATATTTGGACTACTGTTTCATTATTGCTTGATGCTGATAGGAAAGGTATGTAACTTGTTTCAAGTCTTCTATGAGATCTGCCAGTCTGTCTGTCCCAGAATCTAGCCTCTGTATGGGTAGGTTGGATATTACCTACCTTTCACTTTGGCAAGTGGTGTACTCCCTCCCCCCCTCCTTTCCAGATCTAACCATCACATGTGTAATCCTCTGCTTCTTGGACTTTATACCTAAGAGTTTTGGAAGGAAGAGCAGATCCTGTTGCATTTAGCAGCCAATCAGGTGCTCTTCATTGTCCGATACTGCAATAGGAAAAGTGTATGATTACGCTGGTAACAAGAACAATTCTTCTCATGTGTGGATGTCCACCTTATGTCATGTTGGTTTCTGTTCTCACTTGGTTTGTCTTGCAGGGGGGAAGCGGCCAGTCTGTGACGGAGTATGTCGTCCGCGTTCCCAGGTGAGAACCAATACCGTGATCCAGGGACTGTCCATGGAGGTCTAATATTTGCACTCATCAGTGTGTCCAATAATATTGCTCACTTTAATACTAAAGTCAGAGTAGTCAGGCCCTTCATAACAAAATCAAACAAGATCCGTGTGGTGCACAGCAAACAATTTTGGTACCTCAAGACAGATTGTGCTGGGTATTAAGCAGGAATTTCCTTAAAATGTAAATTGGGTAACAGGTTCACCTTGTAATATTTCATGAGTACAGGAGTAATTTCCTATGTCCCTTTCCTATACAGGAACCCCAGTAAGAGGTACAATGTCATGGCCTTCAATGCTGCAGATAAAGTGGACTTCTCTACATGGAACCAGGTACACAACATCTGCTATATACACCAGTCTCTGATGTCTTCCTTGTGTGTGACTGCCATCATCTCTTCTTTCTTCCTTCCTTCTTTCTTCCTTCCTTCTTTCTTTCTTCCTTCTTCTTTCTTCCTTCCTCGCTTCTTTCTTTTTTCTTTCTTTTCTTTCTTTTCTTTCTTTTCTTTTTCTTTTTTCTTTTTCTTTTCTTTTCTTTTCTTTTTCTTTCTTTCTTTCTTTCTTTCTTTCTTCCTTCCTTCCTTCCTTCCTTCCTTCCTTCCTTCCTTCTTTCTTTCTTTCTGTCTTTCTTCCTTCCTTCCTTCCTTCCTTCCTTCCTTCCTTCCTTCCTTCCTTCCTCGCTTCTTTCTTTCTGTCTTTCTTCCTTCCTTCCTTCCTTCCTTCCTTCCTTCCTCGCTTCTTTCTTTCTGTCTTTCTTCCTTCCTTCCTTCCTTCCTTCCTTCCTTCCTTCCTTCCTTCCTCGCTTCTTTCTTTCTTTCCTTTCCTTCCTTCCTTCCTTCCTTCCTTCCTTCCTTCCTTCCTTCCTTCCTTCCTTCCTTCCTTCCTTCCTTCCTTCTTCCGTCTGTCTTTTTCTTTCTTTCTTTCTGTCTTTCTTTCTTTCTTTCTGTCTTTCTTTCTTTCTGTCTGTCTGTCTTTCTTTCTTTCTGTCTTTCTTTCTTTCTTTCTGTCTTTCTTTCTTTCTGTCTTTCTTTCTTTCTCTGTCTTTCTTTCTTTCTGTCTTTCTTTCTTCCGTCTTTCTTTCTTTCTGTCTTTCTTTCTTTCTGTCTTTCTTCCTTCCTCCCTTCTTTTTTCTGTCTTTCTTCCTTCCTCCCTTCTTTTTTCTGTCTTTCTTCCTTCCTCCCTTCTTTCTCCTTTCTTTTACACTGTTAAAGTATCACTGCAACCTTTGAGGTATATGTAAACTATGAACTCCTATTTCTTCCCTGAAGTTGCAGCAAGTCGAAGCCCTCCTTATTTCCTGGCTGGAGGACATCTAGCATCCTCTAGCGTTTTCCTCCCCAGTTGACTGTACCTTCCACACCCCTTCCTTTCATTTGGATTTCAGTTCTTTCAATCATGGAGGCTCAGCATTACATGTGGGCGTTACCTGGGGTAATCTGCATGCACCCACTCCTCCAGACTGACACCCACTTCTCTAGACTGACACCCACCCATCAAGGCATTTTAAAGAGCTTTTATACTTATCAGTCCTGTCACCCATTTTTCGGATTCTGTCTAAGGGCTATAGTTCCTTGAAGAATCTTCACATCCTACCATCCCAGTTGTTTCAGATGCCTGCACACCCCTCGCACATTGTAGTTCCATCCACCAGTCCCTGAATCACTACTAAACAGAGCGAAGATATGAGGAATGGGCATTGGGTCAGGTAGGTATAACAGGTCTCTTTTTTCAAGGGTTTTAAAAAGGCAACAGGGTAACTTTAAAAGTCCTTGTTGTAGCTTACAGGTCTTTGGAATGTCTCACATTCCCCTGATCAGGTATGTTGGTAAAAATGGAAGGAAAGGAAAGGAAGCTGTTGGGTACTGTGAAATGGAATGTTTTCAGCCTTGGGTAAACAGATCTGAAATATGTTGTAGATATTATTAGCAGGACTGTTCTCTGACATACACTTTCACTTCCTGGGTTTCTGCACAATCCAGGCTCGCATGGAGCGTGACCTGAGCGCTAAGAAAATGTACCAGGAGGAGGAATTGCCTGAATCTGGAGCTGGGAGTGAGTTTAATCGCAAGCTGAGGGAGGAAGCCAGACGCAAGAAGTATGGCATCATTCTCAAAGAGTTCAAGGTGGAGGACCAGCCCTGGGTACTGAGGGTTAACGGCAAGGCCGGACGCAAGTGAGTTGAATGCATGGAGATGTTTTGTGTCTGACAAGGTACATCCATGGTATTGTATAAGGACAACAGCCAATGTATGTTTTTGTCTTCCCAGGTTTAAAGGAATTAAAAAAGGTGGAGTAACAGAGAACGCCTCCTACTTCATCTTCACCCAGTGTCCAGATGGAGCATTTGAAGCTTTCCCTGTCTCCAACTGGTACAACTTTACTCCACTGGCCAAGCACCGGACACTGACTGCAGAAGAGGCCGAACAGGAATGGGAAAGGTAAGGCCCGTGTGTGTGTTTATATATTCAGGGGGGCATGTACATTGGCCTTTAATGCATGTTGTAGTGAGGCAGCCCTAAGGGAAAAAAAAGGGCTGCCAATGCAAAAAATGTCCCAGATGTCGGATGTATTAAATAATTTTTGCTGCAATGCACTATGGTGCATGTGCATGGTCTTAGTATGTTGGGGTGCCATTCTAAAAGGGATGTCAGTGTCATGTAACGGGTGTTACCACGCAAAATATGTTCATGGGCCCTATGGTCTCACAAACAATCGGAGTGTTTGCATAGCCTCCCTAAGCAAGGAATTGGTGCAGCACCTGGAACAGCCACATGGAGGCACTGGAACACATGGCTGCAAATTGTCCTTGAAAGAGAAAATGAGAGGAAAGGTGCAGGAACTAAAATGTTTTGTGTGGGGGGTATTTTTTGAGGGCAACACTGAGCCTTATTATGTATAGTTTTCGAAGGTGCAAACTGGCTGCTTGTTTCCTCCATTGTAGAATAATGGCAACATCTGAAACAAACCCACAGTGGCAGTCCAACACACCTTACATTTCCCTTCAATGTTTTGGTTTAGGCGAAACAAAATCCTGAACCACTTCAGCATTATGCAGCAGCGCCGCCTGAAGGACCAGGGTGGAGAGGATGATGATGATGAGGAAGGTAGCGGAAAACAGGACAAAGGTGGGAAGAGCAAGAAAAAGAAAAAGAGTGACCTGAAAATCCACGATCTGGAGGATGAACTAGAGATGAGCACCAGTGAAAGTGAGGGCAGCGGAGATGAAGGTGAGGGACCAGAGGAGAGATCCAGCTAAAAAAAAAAAAAGAAATTAAAGGGTTATGTCATCTGAAGGTGATACTTCAGTCATAGGTGCCCTCTGTTGGATACCCAGCAGCTTTTATTTATTTATTTTTTCCTTCCAGCCTTAAAGCAGAGTTCTGAATGTTCTGTACGCAGTTAGAGAAGATATTAATCGTTCAAAAATGTCAAAATCTGTTTGCTTGGTGTTGGGGTTTTAACTGTTGTGACAGCCTAAGAGCATGAGGTTCCTGCAGTTGCATTAATTTTTAGACAAATTATATTCTATATGGCTGAAGAGCCACTTGGATGCAGAGCATGCTGTCGCTATGGCATTGACCTAGTCTCTGAGTATACTGTAACTATGGCGATGACCTGCTCTCGGAGCATGCAGTAGCTATGGCATTGACCTGGTGCTTGCTGTAGCTATGGCATTGACCTGGTCCTGGAGCTTGCTGTAGCTGTGGCATTGTCCTGGTGCGTGCCGTAGCTTTGGCATTGTCCTGGTGCGTGCTGTAGCTGTGGCATTGTCCTGGTGCGTGCCATAGCTGTGGCATTGTCCTGGTGCGTGCCATAGCTGTGGCATTGTCCTGGTGCGTGCCGAAGCTGTGGCATTGTCCTGGTGCGTGCCGTAGCTGTGGCATTGTCCTGGTGCGTGCCGTAGCTGTGGCATTGTCCTGGTGCGTGCCGTAGCTGTGGCATTGTCCTGGTGCGTGCCGTAGCTGTGGCATTGTCCTGGTGCGTGCCGTAGCTGTGGCATTGTCCTGGTGCGTGCCGTAGCTGTGGCATTGTCCTGGTGCGTGCCGTAGCTGTGGCATTGTCCTGGTGCGTGCCGTAGCTGTGGCATTGTCCTGGTGCGTGCCGTAGCTGTGGCATTGACCTGGTGCGTGCCGTAGCTGTGGCATTGACCTGGTGCGTGCCGTAGCTGTGGCATTGACCTGGTGCGTGCCGTAGCTGTGGCATTGACCTGGTGCGTGCCGTAGCTGTGGCATTGACCTGGTGCGTGCCGTAGCTGTGGCATTGACCTGGTGCGTGCCGTAGCTGTGGCATTGACCTGGTCCTGGAGCGTGCCGTAGCTGTGGCATTGACCTGGTCCTGGAGCGTGCCGTAGCTGTGGCATTGACCTGGTCCTGGAGCGTGCCGTAGCTGTGGCATTGACCTGGTCCTGGAGCGTGCCGTAGCTGTGGCATTGACCTGGTCCTGGAGCGTGCCGTAGCTGTGGCATTGACCTGGTCCTGGAGCGTGCCGTAGCTGTGGCATTGACCTGGTCCTGGAGCGTGCCGTAGCTGTGGCATTGACCTGGTCCTGGAGCGTGCCGTAGCTGTGGCATTGACCTGGTCCTGGAGCGTGCCGTAGCTGTGGCATTGACCTGGTCCTGGAGCGTGCCGTAGCTGTGGCATTGACCTGGTCCTGGAGCGTGCCGTAGCTGTGGCATTGACCTGGTCCTGGAGCGTGCCGTAGCTGTGGCATTGACCTGGTCCTGGAGCGTGCCGTAGCTGTGGCATTGACCTGGTCCTGGAGCGTGCCGTAGCTGTGGCATTGACCTGGTCCTGGAGCGTGCCGTAGCTGTGGCATTGACCTGGTCCTGGAGCGTGCCGTAGCTGTGGCATTGACCTGGTCCTGGAGCGTGCCGTAGCTGTGGCATTGACCTGGTCCTGGTGCGTGCCGTAACTGTGGCATTGACCTGGTCCTGGTGCGTGCCGTAACTGTGGCATTGTCCTGGTGCGTGCCGTAGCTGTGGCATTGACCTGGTCCTGGTGCGTGCCGTAACTGTGGCATTGACCTGGTCCTGGTGCGTGCCGTAACTGTGGCATTGACCTGGTCCTGGAGCGTGCCGTAACTGTGGCATTGACCTGGTCCTGGTGCGTGCCGTAACTGTGGCATTGACCTGGTCCTGGTGCGTGCCGTAACTGTGGCATTGACCTGGTCCTAGAGCAATGCTGAAGGGCTCGTTTACATAAGTGCCAATACCCTGTGTTTAAGCGGCTCCTAAGCAGTGATGTTAAAGCAGTGCACACAGGTGCGGTAGCATTGTGCTGTGTTAAAAATTAAGCTGCATGCCACTTTCAGGAGGCATTGCCGCAGGTCAGCTGCCTCCATTCATTTCAATGGTAACATGCTGTAACCGTACCTTAACAGCACCTATACTGCTACAGCACAGTAGTGAAGCATTTATAAAGTATTAGCTGGGTGCTGGAGGAGAGGCATATGAGGATCCTGTATCCCAGAATGCCCTGGGAAATAACCAAGAACTAGGATAGAGCAGATCCAGCCACTTCTTGTTTCTACAGAGTGGCCATGTGGTGGCAACACCGTTTGCTTCTACGTGCCGGCAAAAGCATCAAGCCAGCCAGGAATACTGACAGTGTCAGGCAGGAGCTAAGGCTTTGAGCGTTGTCAATGGCAAATCTTGTGTGTCAGTAAAGTGTCAGTGCCAGCAAGCTAACACATCAGCACCTTTTGGATGCCAGCAAATGACTGATAATCTTTCCATGATCATCTTGATTGATCTGGAGCAAGCCGTGTTAACCCCTTCCTGACCAGGCCATTATTTGCGATATGGCACTGCGTTACTTTAACTGACGATTGCGCGGTCATGCAACACTGTGCCCAAATTAAATTTACATCCTTTTTTTTTTTTTTTTCTCCCCACAACTAGAGCTTTCTTTCGGTGGTATTTGATCACCTGTGCATTTTTTTTTTTTTAATTTTTTTTTTTTTTTATTTTTTATTTTTTTGCGCTATAAACAGACTGACAATTTTGAGAAAAAAATATATATTTTTTTTACGTTTTGCTATTAGACAGGTCCAATAAAAATATTAAAATAATCAAATGTCATCATACATTTAGGCCAAAATGTATTCTGCTACATATCTTTGCTAAAAAAAAAAAAAAAAATGTGTAATTTGGTTTACATGAAAGTTATAGCATTAACAAATGGAGGTAAAGATGCTGGAATTTTTTTTTATACTAGTAATGGCGGCGATCAGCAACTTATAATGGGACTGTGGCGGGCATTCTGACACTTGGGGGGGGAACTGATTTGGTGTCACTGACATCCCCAGTGACACCAATACAGTGATCAGTGGCACTGGGCAGGAAGGGGTTAACATATGGGGCGATCAAAGGGTTAACTGTGTGCTGTTTTACTACCTGGGCTGTGTCTGTGTTTTCACTGTAAGCACACTGCTTTGTATGGCTCTGCTATGCAGAGCCATACAAAGCAGTGTGCAGGAGCTGACGGGAGAGATCTGTGTTGTTTATACACAGGTCTCTCCCCCTGTTGGAAATACTTGGCAATCACGGGCCGGGACCCGGCGATTGACAGCCGAGGCCGCTAATGATGGCGCGGGTAGGGCGCACACACGCCCTTTACCCGGAAATGCAAAATCACGTATATATACATGATACTAGCAGGGAGGGGAGAGACCTTGCAGTGTAATGAGCACCACTTGGCTGCTTGTCAGGAAAGGGGGGGCAGGGCTTGTACTTTATCTCTTTCACTGCCAGAGCCATTTTTGTGTTTTGCACACGTTTAAAAAATCTTTTTATCACATGCAAAATCACGTGTATATATATGCACCAGGACCAGGTATATATACATGATTTTGCGCACCCCTGACACCCTGTATTTCTGCTACAGGGCGGAGGGGAAGCGGTTAAGAGAGATAAAAGTATGCAAATCCATATTGCAGAGAAATCGCAACTTAAACACATCTCAAAGCAGATCACTTCCTCTAAATCACTCCCCTCCATCCCCTTTTAAGCCCTTCACCCTAGAATAACACTTTCATGGGTGTTCGGCAAACTTTCTTGGTGCTTTTCCAACATTTTAAAATTGCGTCACAAATGCTATAGGTGTGTTAATGAGGGTTGCTTCCTTCTTTGTAAACATCACACATGTGTATGGAATACCACTGTGTTGGAGCTTTGCTACCTTCACTGATCACACAGACCAGTCAGCGAGCCCACAGCAGCTGGTAGTGGTTCTCCTATTGGTTAATGTGATGAAGGTGGTGCTTAAAATAAACCTAAAGGGTAAGTTAAATTTATACAGAGAAAAGATTTTTGGAGTTACGTTTAATAATCGAATAAGATCCGCACTCCATTCTCCACTCTTCTGCTTACTTTTATTCATGCGTCAACAGGATGGCCTTGTGATCAAGCCATTTGTAGTGAAACGCGTTAAGGAGGTGCTAGTTTCTTTGGGTGGAGCAGTGGCGCCCCGAGGCAGGTGCAGGGGGTGCGCGCCACACCGGGTGACACCGGACCCGCTCCACGAAAAGGTAAGTTGTAAAGAAAGCTGACGATCCCCACAGGATGGATCGGATCCATCCTGTGGGGATCATCGGCTTTCTTTACAACTTTTATTATTATTATTATTATTATACAGTATTTATAAAGCGCCAATAGTTTGCTCAGCGCTGTACATTACAAAGGGGGACAGAACATGTGACAGAACAATACCAATACAATGCAAAACATGAGGGGATCGAGGGCCCTGCTCTTTCGAGCTTACAATCTAGGAGGGAGGGGATGGTGGCACAGGAGGAGATAGCTGTGGGGGATGGAGTGGTAGGAAGAGTGGAGGAGGTCGGCAGGTTAGCAGGGGGTGGGGTAGGCTTCCCTGAAGAGATGGATTTTCAGGGTGCGCCTAAAGGAGAGGAGAGTAGGTGATAATCTGATGGGTTGGGGCAGGGAGTTCCAGAGGATGGGTGACACCCTGGAGAAGTCCTGGAGGCATGGGAGGAGGAGACCAGGGAACTAGAGAGAAGGAGGTCTTGTGAGGAGCGGAGTGTGCGTGTTGGGCGGTACTTGGATATTAGGTCAGTGATGTAGTTCGGGGCAGTATGGTGGACAGCTTTGTACGTCAGTGTTAGGATTTTGAATTTGATCCGTTGCGCAATCGGAAGCCAGTGGAGGGAACTTACCTTTTCGTGGAGCGGGTCCGGTGTCACTCCGTATAGGTTGCATGCCGACGATCCCCGCAGGATGGATCAGATCTGTGGATTGGGGAGCATAATGGATCGGACTCCGATCCATTATGCTCCACCATCCGCAGATCCGATCCATCCTGCGGGGATCGTCGGCTTTCTTTACAACTTACCTTTTTGTGGAGCGGGTCCGGTGTCACCCTGTATAGGTTGCATGCCGACGATCCCCGCAGGATGGATCGGACCTGCGGATTGGTGAGCTTAATGAATCAGACTCCGGGTGACACCAACCCTAGGGATGCCATTGGGGTGGAGACACCATATTTGCAGCCATACTTATAACGGTAAGCCAGGATGAGCTTCTTTGAGCCAGCGCTCTGTTTTTTTCCGTGGACAAGTGAAAGGAGCAGGTCTGGAGAAGTGCTGCAGCTCTGGGATGTTTCAGCTATTACATTACTAATAGATCCTTTGATCCATACAAGGTTTTTTCTTTTAGATGTGCAGTACCACCCATCATTCAGTCATTTGTTTTTCATTTAAGATGAAGGTCGGCGGAAGACACAGAAGCAAACTGCCCGAACTAAGAAAAAGAAGAAGCAGGTTGACGATGAAGCCATAGAAGACAGTGATGATGGTGACTTTGAAGGACAAGAAGTAGACTATATGTCTGATGAGAGCAGGTACTGGAGGCTGAATTATCATCAGCAGAACATGTGGCGAGTACTGCGGTGGTTTCCGGCAGTACAATACGTTTTGCCTGTTAGGAGATTTAATACTTGCCATAGCGGCATTTTGTATACTCGGTGCTGTTCCCCTAAGATTGGGGTTACAGATCACAAACTGCTTTTTGTTGTAATTGTTACTTTTTCTTGGTAAACTTTCAATAAACTTTGCATGGAAAAAAAAAAAACATGATGAGAACAGACCATTACCTTTACTTTTTCTTTCTGCATCAGCTCAGATGAGGAACTTCTTGGCAAACCCAAAGTCACCAAAGAGGATCAGGACGTTCCTAAAGGTGAAATAGAAATACACTAGGTTTATTCTATCCTTGTGTTTGTGGCACTCTGCTTTTAAAGAGCCTGTCACTTGACCGATTCAGGGGATCTATACATCCCCTCCCCGACCCGCTTATGCTCTGCATCTTTGCTGCGCACTCCTAACTCCATGAACGTTCCATGAGAGAGCTTAAATAAGGTTCATTACGTCAACCTCCTTTTTCATATGACTGTGTTTGCATCTAGGGGTTAGTCTCTGAAGCCCAAGCACTGCATTTTGGGACCCAATCACATGCTCCTCCAATAACCAGGTATTTTGCAGTGGCTGCTACATAGGAAGAAGTGCCAGTGAAGCGCTGATATGGTATTTTTGGGTCAGGGCATGGGCTTTAAAGAGAGTCTGTCCTGAATGGGTGGAGTTCCTTTTTATGGGGGGGGGGGGGGGGGCTTTAGGCAAAAAAAAAAAAAAAAAAAAAAAAAACTAGTACCAAGTAAAGGAATGATAGCTGAGAAATCTCAAAGGCTCCATTGCATGAGCTGTGAGCCAATGGCGCTCTGCTGTCCCAGCCAGGAACCAGTGGGGCTCTGCTGTCCGAGCCAGGAGCCAGTGGTGCTCTGCTGTCCGAGCCAGGAGCCAGTGGTGCTCTGCTGTCCGAGCCAGGAGCCAGTGGGGCTCTGCTGTCCGAGCGGGGAGCCAGTGGGGCTCTGCTGTCCGAGCGGGGAGCCAGTGGGGCTCTGCTGTACAAGCGGGGAGCCAGTGGGGCTCTGCTGTACAAGCGGGGAGCCAGTGGGGCTCTGCTGTACAAGCGGGGAGCCAGTGGGGCTCTGCTGTACAAGCGGGGAGCCAGTGGGGCTCTGCTGTACAAGCGGGGAGCCAGTGGGGCTCTGCTGTACAAGCGGGGAGCCAGTGGGGCTCTGCTGTACCAGCGGGGAGCCAGTGGGGCTCTGCTGTACAAGCGAGGAAGCAGTGGGGCTCTGCTGTACAAGCGAGGAAGCAGTGGGGCTCTGCTGTACAAGCGAGGAAGCAGTGGGGCTCTGCTGTACAAGCGGGGAGCCAGTGGGGCTCTGCTGTACGAATCGGTGGGGCTCTGCTGTACAAGCGAGGAAGCAGTGGGGCTCTGCTGTACAAGCGGGGAGCCAGTGGGGCTCTGCTGTACGAATCAGTGAGGCTCTGCTGTACAAGCGAGGAATCAGTGAGGCTCTGCTGTACAAGTGGGGGAACCAGTGGGGCTCTGCTGTACAAGTGGAGGGATCCAGTGGGGCTCTGCTGTACAAGTGGAGGGATCCAGTGGGGCTCTGCTGTACAAGTGGAGGGATCCAGTGGGGCTCTGCTGTACAAGCGGAGGGATCCAGTGGGGCTCTGCTGTACAAGCGGGGGAACCAGTGGGGCTCTGCTGTACAAGCGGGGAGCCAGTGGGGCTCTGCTGTACAAGCGGGGGGGAGCCAGTGGGGCTCTGCTGTACAAGCGGGGGGCGAGCCAGTGGGGCTCTGCTGTACAAGCGGGGGGGGAGCCAGCCAGGGGCTCTGCTGTACAAGCGGGGGGGGAGCCAGTGGGGCTCTGCTGTACAAGCGGGGGGGGAGCCAGTGGGGCTTGCTGTACAAGCGGGGGGGAGCCAGTGGGGCTCTGCTGTACAAGCGGGGAACCAGTGTCGCTCTACTCTATGAACCCAGCACGTATGGGATTACTTGTGTCTGATGGAGAGGTTTTCTCATAGGTTGGGGAGAGGATTCAGGGAAGAGCTACCAATGTGGCAATGACCATTTCCTGTGCAGTGAGCTTACTCCCAGCAGAGAAGCTGCACTGATCAGAAGAGGTGTCCTCCCCTTGGAGTAGTGGACCAGCATTATAAATGTAATCGTCGGTAAGACCCGCTAATGCTGTGTATTCTGATTGTGTTTTATGTCTGGAATTCTGCTTAAATGTCGACAGGGATTGATGAGGCGAGTGAGAGCAGCGAGGAGAGCGAAGAGGAGAAGGTGGAGGAGGAAGAGGATGAAGAGAAGAAAGGTTCCACGCCTCAGGAGCGGAAGAGGAAAAGAGGAGGTGCGGCTGAGATGAGTCTCTCCAGAACACTTTGGGGGTGGGGTTTAGTCTCTCCAATTGACACTGTTTTTCAACCACAGACAGCAGCGAGGAATCCGAGTCAACAGATGACAGCGATATTGACAAAGAGGCTTCCTCAGCTCTTTTCATGCAGGTATCACTTATTAACCCCTTGCCTACCAGGCACTTCTACCCCCTTCCTGTCCAGGCCAGCTTTCAGCACAGTCGCACTTTGAATGACAATTGCGCGGTCATGCAACACTGTACCCATATGAATTTTGTATCATTTTTTTTAGACAGAGCTTTCTTTTGGTGGTATTTATTCACCTCCGGGGGTTTTTTATTTTTTGCTAAACAAACCAAAAACAACTGAAAATGTGGAAAAAAAATAAAAATTTTCCTAGTTTCTGTTTGTAAAATTTTGTAAATAACTGATTTTTTTCTGATATGTGCTAATGAGGCTGTGGTGATGGGCACTGATAGGCTGCAATGAGCATTGATAACATAAACCTTTTCTACAATCCTTCCCCAAACTCAAATCCTACCCCACAGTTCCCCAATATATTCAAAATATCCACAATACAAAGTCCACAATGCAAATTCAAAAGTCCACCACGAGTCCACACTCATATAAAATCTTCAGGCGTTGAGAATTATCCCATTCATCACTTCAGATCCAGGAAACCTCAAATAAAATAAACTAAATATAGTGCATTAACTTTTACCAACAATCAAATATTGTGATACCATGCAAAAGTCACTTGTGAGAAAAAAAAAGAAAAAAAAAATTTATTTTAAATTACTACTTTTAGTGATTCTCGTGTAAAAATACTGTAAATAAAATTAGGGTGAATACACCTACACAGCCCACTCGCGAGGTGAATCCACTGCAAAATACCCAAACTTGTGTAAAAAGTGCCAACACTTCAATAAAAAATACACAGCAAGTGCTCAACTTGTGAATATATATAATCCACAATCCAAAATAAGTGCCACCACTCTGGTAGGATTAAAAACTATTACCCTCTTTCATTTCTCATAAGCATTTTAAATATACTCCAGGGTACACCAGCTTTCTCCTTCCAGATAATTCTAAGCATTGTTCCCCGATCCTCACAGGGCAAGAGAGCAAGATTCAGCGGGATGTATAAGTAATAAAAAACAAAATTTTTATTGCTGCTTACATCAGAAAAACGAAAGACCATCCTGTTCCAGCATAACCATCAAACCAGCATCAAAGATGGCCGCGATGCTCCTTCCGGTTTTGCGTCTGACGTCACGACCCTGACACGTTTCGTCACTTCCGACTTTCTCAAAAAAAGTCCCTTGAGAAAAAGTCGGAAGTGACAAAACGTGTCAGAGTCGTGACGTCAGACGCAAAACCGGAAGGAGCATCGCGGCCATCTTTGATGCTGGTTTGATGGTTATGCTGGAACAGGATGGTCTTTCGTTTTTCTGATGTAAGCAGCAATAAAAATTTTGTTTTATTACTTATACATCCCGCTGAATCTTGCTCTCTTGCCCTGTGAGGATCGGGGAACAATGCTTAGAATTATGGAAGGAGAAAGCTGGTGTACCCTGGAGTATTTAAAATGCTTATGAGAAATGAAAGAGGGTAATAGTTTTTAATCCTACCAGAGTGGTGGCACTTATTTTGGATTGTGGATTATATATATTCACAAGTTGAGCACTTGCTGTGTATTTTTTATTGAAGTGTTGGCACTTTTTACACAAGTTTGGGTATTTTGCAGTGGATTCACCTCGCGAGTGGGCTGTGTAGGTGTATTCACCCTAATTTTATTTACAGTATTTTTACACGAGATTCACTAAAAGTAGTAATTTAAAATAATTTTTTTTTTTTTTTTTCTCACAAGTGACTTTTGCATGGTTTCACAATATTTGATTGTTGGTAAAAGTAAATGCACTATATTTAGTTTATTTTATTTGAGGTTTCCTGGATCTGAAGTGATGAATGGGATAATTCTCAACGCCTGAAGATTTTATATGAGTGTGGACTCGTGGTGGACTTTTGTTATTTGCATTGTGGACTTTGTATTGTGGATATTTTGAATATATTGGGGAAATGGTGGGGTAGGATTTGAGTTTGGGGAAGGATTGTAGAAAAGGTTTGTTATTTGCACTTTCAAGGGTGAAAGTTTTACTTTTTTTTCTTTGGGGATTCACAGAGATTTTGATTTTAATGAGCGTTGATAGGCAGCACTGATGACGTGGCACTGATGGGCATTGACAGGCATCACTGATGGGCACTAAAAGGCAGCACTCATATATGGAACTGTTAGGCGGCACTGACTGGCACTGTTAGGCGGCACTGACTGGCACTGTTAGGCGGCACTGACTGGCACTGTTAGGCGGCACTGACTGGCACTGTTAGGCGGCACTGACTGGCACTGTTAGGCGGCACTGAAAGGCAAGTCAGATGGGCACTTATATGTGGCATTGATGGGCACTGACAGGTGGCTCTGATGGGGCTACACTGATCATCAGTGCCCTGATGATCAATGTACATGTTCCCTCTAAGGCATGCTGATTAACGGCTCTCCTCTCCTCACGAGCTGGCAGTGTGACAGCTCGTGAGGAGAGAAATGCTGATAACCGGCATTTCCTTATTTACATGCGATCAGCTGTGATTGGACACAGCTGATCACATGACAGAGCCGACTTCCTCGACTCTTTCCGTTGATTGGTGCTCATATGACATCCTCCCAGAATGAGAGAACTGCCTTGCGCCCGCCATTTCCTTATATGGCGGGCGGGAGGCGGTTAAAGAGGACCTGTATTATTGATTAAATTCTGTGCTAATTAGAGGCAGATGTGGAAGGTAGTTTTTTTTTTTTTTTTTCTTTTTTTTTCAATCCCTTTTTTTTTTTTTCTTTCAGCTGCAATGTCATCCTCACACTTATTACCTAATGAGTTACATCGTACTGCACTGGTCACCTGCTTCTAGATCACCTAGATCGATTTTTTTATTTTTTTTTGCAATTGAAAGTGGCTTAAACTACCTGAAAATGTGTTCGATTTGTAATAGTTGCTCAGTAGGAACACCTATATCTGTAAATTCTCTTCTGTTTGCGTCTACAAGCTCTGCCATGCCTTCTCCTCTTTCCTAGAAAAAGAAAACTCCCCCGAAGAAAGATAAAAAGGGGGGCTCCAACAGCAGCTCCCGCGGTAACAGTCGACCTGGTACACCGTCTCCTGATTCCGCCAACACTTCCAACACTCTCAAAGCTGCGGCCAGCAAACTGGAACAAGGTGTGTGTGTAGCAAGCTGCGATTTAGGTCTTGAGTTGTCCTTTCTGCCCATTTCTAACACCTTCTCGTCTTTCTGTCCACTAGGTAAACGTGGCGCTCTCCCTCATACGCCGGCTGCAAAGCGCCTAAAAATGGAGTCTGGGCCTCAGAGCACATCTGGAAAATCGACCCCACAGCCGCAGTCAGGAAAGTCCACGCCAAGCAGTGGGTGAGCAATAGCACATCTGACTGTCATATGGACACCCTCATCATTTTTTTTTTTTTTTTTTCTATATTTTGACATATCTTCAGGGACTCCATGCTATTCCTTTTTAACCGCTTCAAGTCCGGACACTTTTACCCCCTTCCTGTCCAGGCCAATTTTCAGTTTTCAGCACTGTCACACTTTGAATGACAATTGTGCAGTCATGCAACACTGTACCCATATGAAATTTTTAGCATTTTTTGAGACAGATATAACTTTATTTTGGTGGTATTTATTCACCGCTGGGATTTTTTATTTTTTTGCTATGTAAATGAAAACGTCCAAACATTTTGAAAAAAAAAAGTGTTTTCTTATAAAGTTTTGCAAATACCGTATATACTCGAGTATAAGCCGAGTTTTTCAGCACATTTTTTGTACTGAAAAACGACCCCCTCGGCTTATACTCGAGTCAGCGTCTGCAGATGACATGCCGTCCCTGTCATCTGGACACACCCCCGGGATCAATCCTCACCGCTCCCTCCCTCTCCCATGGTACACACTTACCGGTCAGATGTCTTCCTTCTCTGGCCGCTCTCCTCCTCTTCACTCGCTCGATCTTCGCGGTGCCGCTCGGCTCCTCCTCTCCAAGCCCCACCTCCTCGCCGGTGATTGGGCGCCTGTGTGCCTCTCCTGAGCTACAGTTCCGGCGGCCAATCACCGGCGAGGAGGTGGAGCTTGGAGAGGAGGAGCCGAGCGGCACCGCGAAGATCGAGCGAGTGAAGAGGAGGAGAGCGGCCGGAGAAGGAAGACATCTGACCGGTAAGTGTGTACCATGGGAGAGGGAGGGAGCGAGCGAGCCCAGGCTGGAGCAGGGGTCACCAACGATGGGGCACTATTCCTCCCCCCACTGACACCAACGATGGGGCACTATTCCTCCCACACTGACACCAATGATGGGGCACTATTCCTCCCCACACTGACACCAATGATGGGGCACTATTCCTCCCCCCACTGACACCAACGATGGGGCACTGTTCCTCCCCCCACTGACACCAACGATGGGGCACTATTCCTCCCACACTGACTCCAATGACGGGGCACTATTCCTCCCACACTGACTCCAATGACGGGGCACTATTCCTCCCACACTGATACCAATGATGGGGCACTATTCCTCCCCCCACTGACACCAACGATGGGGCACTATTCCTCCCCCCACTGACACCAACGATGGGGCACTATTCCTCCCCCCTCGGCTTATACTCGAGTCAATAGTTTTTTTTCCCAGTTTTTTGTGGTAAAATTAGGTACCTCGGCTTATATTCGGGTCGGCTTATACTCGAGTATATATGGTAATCTTTCTTCATAAATCTTGGCCAAAATGTATTCAGCTATCTATTTAGTAAAAATAACCAAAATTAGTTTATAACCCAAAATTATAATTTTTAAAAAACATTTTTTACTTTTTTTTTTTTTTTTATATCGTGTGGTTTTTTTTTTTTTTTTTTTTTTTTTTTTTTTTTTTTTTTTTAACATACAGTCACCCTAGCAGTACAGTGTCACCATAGTGTACTACTTGTGGGGGGTGATGAAAATTTTTTCTTTTTTTTTTTCTTTTAAATGGATTGCGTTTACACCCATAAAGGCTGTAAAAGCAATAATTTCTCCTTCTCTCTGGCTGCATTCCTGCAGCCATTGAGAAATACTGTGTGAGCTGTGATTGGTCACAGCTTGTCACATGGTACAAGGCTGTTGTGAATAGCCTTGTATCATGTGACCTCTGTGATCATTCACAGATTTCACATGTAGTAAGCAATGATGTCAGGAAGTGACATCTTGCTTACTATTAGTCATATGATCACTGATCGGCCAATCAGTGATCACATGATCGGGACCTCACACAGAGGAGCCCGCACAGGGAGGGAATGCGGGAGGACATAAACGGCCACCCGCTCCTGCATCGCTCTCGTCTGGCCCATGTACATAAACGGCTGGACGGGAGCAGTCCAGGAGCTGGTGGCCATTTATAAACATCGTCCAGCATTCTCTCCCTGTGCGGGCTCCTCTGTGTGAGGTCCCGATCATGTGATCAGTGGTTAAAGGGGGGGCATTAACCTTATTTTAATAATTTTAGGTGTTTAAGTGAATGTGGTCAGCTTAATGTAAATCTTATCAGGTAATGTGTTAAAGCTCAACCCCAGCCTTCAGTCTTGCACAGCTGTATGGGCTCCTCTCTTGTACTGAAAATGCAGAGCAGGAAATGTAAGTATGGGATGTCTATGGACCCCTTTCTATGGACCCCTTTCTATGGACCCCTTTCTATGGACCCTGATATAGAGTGAACCAATGACTTTGCCTACAAGTGTCACAATTGGAACACTTAAAGCTGAGCTCTCTCCACCCCCCTCAGTCTTGCACAGTTGTACCGGCTCCTTTTCTATACTGAAATTGCTTACTCTGATTTCACTGCATAACCTGAGCTTCTCACATTAGAAACAGGTAGAGTCTCATTTCCTGGCTGGAGGACATCCAGCATCATCTAGCTTTTTCTCTGACTCTCCATAGCCCGCCTATTTATTCATTACCTTTCAGTTCTTTCAGTATTGGAGGCTCACCATCACATGTGTTCGATTCCTATGGGGTTGTACATGCTACAGTCTGCTTGGGAACATCCAGTCCTTCAAACGGACATTACACCCATCAAGGCATTTTTGATATTTACAGAACTCCTCCCATGAGCCAGCCCATTGCTTGTATATGGGCTGAGGGCTCTTGAGGGGATGCAGGGGCAGGGTGCTGTGATGTTTTCAGGAGGCTGGTGCCCTGCTTGCCCCCCCCCCCCACCAGGCATGATCTGCCTGCATTGCCACTGAAGCTACTGGGTCTAAAATAAGGTCTGTAATGAAAATGGAGGTTTTTTCTTAAAATATCATTAGCATGTTGATGGCGTATATGGAGAGGGGGAGGGGAGGAGAGATCAGGAAAGCAACAATATTAGCATGTCATATCTCCACTGCATTGGTGACAGTACGTAGAAAAAAAAAAAAAAAAACCTTAAAAAAAAAAAAAAAAAAAAAAAATGTTTCCGTACTGTCACCAGTCAGTGTCCCTGATCACCGCCACACACGTTATATGATGCTGCTGCAAAGACTGTTGGGACTTGTAGTTCATTTATTCACAGAACTCTGAATTAATGACGCGGCCATGTAGGCAGAGCGTGTTTTCAAAAAGTGACGGCTAGTACGAGGAACTTCTCCCCATTCTGCTGTCACAGGGAAAAAGGACAGCGGGTGACGTCTGCAGCGGGGGGGGAACATGTTACATATTCCACCCTAAAAATGGATGGGACATGTAACATGTTCCCAAAGGTGAACTTATCCTTTAATTTGGGCTTCACAGCGTGTAATATATAGTACTTGTTCCTGATTTTCTTGTTAAACTAACATCCTTGCCACAAGTTCTGTACAGTCTCCTTTTTAGATGTGATGTGATGTGAAATCCGTTTAGTTTGCAGTTAATCAGGCAGGACCTTGTATTTCGTAGTTGGTAAAGCTAAAGGAGGTTGTACATTCTGACTAACCTGTTTGGTCAGCATCATCCATGTGAAAAATACTTTTTATGTGAAATTACATCAGGTACTCAGTAAGACTTCTTAAAAGCCATTGAGTTACATATTCATTGGGAAAATGCATTTTTGGGAAATAGAACGTGGCATTCCTGCAAATTACATCATGGAGGAGACCGGAAACCCCAAAGAGTGCAGGGTCCTGAATATGAAGGTCTGTTATTCACCTCCTCTCCTCCTTCGCCTGCTTTATGCCATTATTTAAAACATTATCTGAGGTTTTCTGACATAAAAGAGAAGTATGGGGTTTAAAAAAAAAATGATACTCACCTAGGTGGATTGATGCTGCATTTGTCCCCTGCAGTACTGCATTGAGAACTAAGCAATCAAACACTGCTGATCACTCAGTTCTCCCCCTCCGCTTTGAGCAGAGAGTAGTGACTGTAAGGGCTCATTTACACTGCAGCTGATGAACCGTTTAGGAGCTGTTCAGCATTTTTTTCAGCAGCCCCTGAACTCTCCCTAATGTTTTTCTATGTGTCCATGTACACATCTTCATTTAAAGGCAGTTGAGTTTATAGTCATTTTTTTGAACGCGGAAAACTTGCGGTCAGCAGTCAATTTTTTATCACCATTTCAAAAGCAAAATGCTTGTAAACGCGGCAAATTGAGTTTATAAGCGTTTGCATTTGAAATTGTTTTAACTCTTCCAGTTCCCGATGCTCTCCGGAGCCTTTTTTCATCATGCAAAATGCATGCAAAGCGTTTTCAAGGTGCTGAGATGGACAAAACACTGAACACAGGATGTTCCTACCAAGCTTGTCACACATTGTAATGACCAATTCGCACCTCAGACCTCTCCCACCCTTGGAAACAAAAGATATGTTAATGACCATTCACACCTCAAATTCCTCATGAAGACCCCCTGCCAGGTGACCTTAATGACTCCCCCCACCCCCACCAGACACCTTTACCACCCTTGGAAACAAAAGAAATGTTAATGACCATTCACACCTCAAATTCCTCAGGGAGACCCCCTGGCCAGCTGGCCTTAATGACTCCCTCCACCAGACACCTTTCCCACCCTTGGAAACAAAAGAAATGTTAATGAGCAACTCACAATTAAGCTAATGTCAACACATCCTGCTGTCTCAGCTTCTACTCTCTGTATTTTTCTGAAACTGTCTGAAATAGTTCATAATTTACCACTTTTCAGTGCATTCTGAGCATTTGGGAGGTTCTCCTGTGCTTATCTTTAAAAAACGCTTCCAAACGCAAACGCGCATAAACACGTTATGCAAACGCGGGTAAACAGATGTTTTTTTAACCTACGTTTTCCAGCAATCAGTTTCCATCGTTCAGAAGTGTCCCGTGTACATGGGGCCTAAGTCACCAACTCTCTGTTCTGCCCCTCCAGGACTCACTGTAGTATCAGGCTGGGGAGGGAGGGGCTGGCTCAGTCTCCCAGCAGTTCAGCTGCTAGTCCAGGCTTCAGGGTGGATTCTGACCAGATCACCATCTTTTCAGAGCCTGAACCGACTCTGTGACATCAGCTGACAGCGGGCTTTAAATAGGTCACAGAAGTACAGAATGAACTGCACTCCTGTGATCCATAGGAGACGTATAGCCAGAGAAGTTCATAGTTGGACAAGGAGGGGAAAACATTACAGAAAATCCATCTTCCACCAAGCACCAGAATAAGATGGGACGGACACAGTTGAGGTTGGAGTTCTGCTTTAAACATGTTTCCTCTTCTATTTCCAGGGACGTTCAGCTTACCGAAGAGGCTGTTCGGAGGTACTTGACCCGCAAACCGATGACTACAAAAGACTTGCTAAAGAAGTTCCAGACCAAGAAGACAGGACTGAGCAGTGAACAGACAGTGAACGTGTTGGCCCAGATTCTGAAGAGACTGAACCCTGACCGTAAAACCATACATGAGAAAATGCACTTCTACCTGAAGGAATGACCACATCCTTACAGAAGGAATGACCACATCCTTACAGCAAGAGCTTATACTTCCTTTTTGATGTCATTGAAATTCTCTTGGAGACCTGAGGGTGACACCGGTTACTAAGAAAATTTATACAGTATTTTCAGTTATTATGGATTTTAAGATCCTATTGCTCGATGGTTTCATGCGCTAATGTGTAGATGTGTGTTTTTTTTGGGGGGGGGGGTTTGTTTTATTTACGGCTGCCTGTAGGGAGTGCATTAACCTCTTCACGCCGGCCGCACACAAATGTGCGGCCTCCCAGTGTCTGGGCCTAGAGGCCGAGTGGCCGCACATTTGCGTTCTATTAAAAAAGGACATATGTGCTCGAGAGCGCACGCCCTGAACATTCCCAGCACACATGTCTGGTACTCACGGAAAGGTCTCGATCTCCTCTTTCGATCGGGACCTTTCCCGATCATGTGACCTTAAACCCCGCCTCCCGGCTTCAAGAACCCTTAAAGGGCCGAGAGGCGCCGGCGTGAAGGGGTTAAGCTGCACTGCTGAACAGGTGATGAGGTAAAAGGATACGGCATATTCTAAATGACTAGGGCTGGGTGACTGGTTCTAGCCTCAGGCACCCAGTTTTATCTAGTATGGGTTGAAAGTCTTGAGCTCTGTGTAAGCTCCAGGTGGAGACTCAAGGCTTAACCGAGGCTTGCATTTCGTTCTCAACAACTGAACAGAAAGGTGGAGCAGCAAAAGGCTTGTGAGTATGTGCAGCTGCTAGAGCGACTATTAAAATGAACGTGTTACTTTCTCAAGTGCAAGTTAACTTTTTGAGTCTCTGACCTGCAGAAGTTAATAGGTTCTGAGTTCTGCATGTTTGCTGTGGGTGTTGTGGCTCAAAGTATTGTAACTGTAGACAGCCAGGCAAACATGCATTTTCAGAAGACAGCCAGCAATGGCTCCCCTCTATGTTTTGGGTTATTTAAAATGCTTACATTAGCCGGCAGCTATTTAGATTTCAGATGTAGTTTTTCGTTAGAATTGGACACCGGAGTTGGGTTGGTTTAGAAAGCCTCTGTATCTCCGCAGACCAAATTTCAGGTGTGAAGAGAGTCGGGGATGACGTGTTTGGTCGGAGAAAATGTTTTGATTTATTGTGTGTGACAGCAATGCATGAGCGATGAATGTTCAGTACCTGGACTATTTTGTTCTTCGAGGAGTGATAATTATTAAAAAGGAATGATTTTTATACTTCCCCTTGTGGTGTTTGTCTTCTTGGTCTGATACAGTTGTCTGGCACTGGAGATTAATTCCTGACAGATGTATGTTGCGGGGGGCAGGGCCTGCCGTGATTGGCTGCGGTCCTGTCTGAATATTTCACATATCTGAACAATAGCCCAGATCCATTCTCTTTCCTCTGTCAGGAGAGTGGCCGGACTTGTGATCAGACTCGGTGTGAACTGAGATGGCCTATAGGGACCTAAGTGTTTCATTAGCCTGATCTTGCTCTTTGCCTATAATTCTCCTTCATTCACTTTTTTTTTTTTCTTCTTTTTACCAGGTTATAAAACCCAACAGGTAAGTGTTTTTACTGCTCATGTCAGGATTAAGGTCAGTCCCTTCCATGCAGAGCAACAGTTTTGCTCTAATAACTCCCTCCCGAGCTGCACATATGTCTTTTTTTTTTTTTTTTTTTTTTCACTTCCCCAGTCTCCGTTCAGCAAGTGGTTCTAGAATAAGATAGCCCTGAGTAAGAGAAGTCCCTCCAGTCGGAGCTTACACAGGACTGTGGGCTCTACCCACCCCATGTAACAGCAGTAGGGTAATCACTGAGCACCAGCGTTGTAACATGCTCCTTCATAGCTCCCAGTGGCTGAATGGAGCAGCAGGGAAGTAAGGAAAAGGCTACTCTGTCCTGCCAGGGAGGGAACCTGTTTCTTTGTCCCACATGGTCAAACCTCAAGCATGTCTTAAGCTGGCAGTAGTGTTGAACTGATTCAACTACTGACTTCACTTTCATGGCAATATTTAACCACTTGCCGTCCGCCTGCTGTTTATAAACGGCAGGGCGGTGGCACTCCAGGGGCGGGTTGTCGTTCATAAACGGGACCCGACTTTTCTAGCTGTGCGCGCTCCCTGGGAGCACGCAGCACCGCGATCCGGTGCCCGCTGTGTTCTCCAGACACAGTGAAACACCGATCGTTGGACGGGACCTCTGTACAAGGTCCCGATCATGTGATTACTGATTGGCCAATCAGTGATCACATGCAAAGTAGTAAGCAAGATGTCACTTGTGACATCATTGCTTCCGACGTGTGAAATCTGTGAATGATCACAGAGGTCACATGGTACAGGGCTATTCACAACAGCCTTGTACCATGTGACAAGCTGTGACCAATCACAGCTCACTCAGTACTTCTCAATGACTGCAAGAATGCAGACAGAGAGAAAGAGAAATGATTGCTTTTACATCCTATATGGGTGTAAAAGCAATCCATTTAAAAAAAAAAAAAAAATCATCACCCCCCACAAGTAGTACACTATGGTGACACTGTGCTGCTAGGGTGACAGTATGTAAAAAAAAAAAAAAAAACCCACACAATATTAAAAAAAATAGAAATGTAAAAAATGTTTTTTTAAAAATTATAATTTTGGGTTATAAACTAATTTTGGTTATTTTTACTAAATAGATAGCTGAATACATTTTGGCCAAGATTTATGAAGAAAGATTATTTGCAAACCTTCATCACCCCCCCACAAGTAGTATGGTGACACTGTACTGCTAGGGTGACAGTATGTAAAAAAATAAAAAATGTAAAAAAAATGTTTAAAAATTATAATTTTTGGTTATAAACTAATTTGGAGTTTTTTTTGTTTTTTTTTACTAAAAAAAATAACGGAATAAATTTTGGCTAAGATTTACGATGAAATATTATTTATTTGCAAAATTTTATAAAAAAAAACACTTTTTTAAAAAAATTTTGGGCTTTTTCATTTACATAGTAAAAAAAAAATAAAAATCCCAGCGGTGAATAAATACCACCAAAATAAAGCTTTATCTGTCTCAAAAAAAATAGTAAAAAATTCATATGGGTACAGTGTTGCATGACCGCCCAATTGTCATTCAAAGTGTGATAGCGCTGAAAGCGGAAAATTGCCCTGGACAGGAAGGGGGTAAAAGTGTCCGGACTGGAAGTGGTTAAGAGACTAGAACACCAATATACTCAGGTTATGGACTCATCCAACATTAATACTAAAAATCAAAAAATACAAAAGATAAAGTAATAAGAGTGAGGCTGCTTCATCCAAAAGAACATACAACATTAACCCCCCCCCCCCCCCCCCCCCGTAGTGCTACTGTTAAAACAAAACCCCAAACCCTGTGAACTCACTCTGAGGTGCTGTCACAATAAAGCTCAATGTAATAATATGACACATGGCAAAACTTTGTTAGCTGCTAAATACACCAACTCCTGGACTTCCTTAAGGCATATGTGTGCCAAACTCACTCAGAGCTGACGTAGTCGGCCAAGTCCAGCAAAACCAGCATAGGGCTCATGTACACTGCAGCTGATAAACTGACGTTCAGGAGATGTTCATCGGTTTTTTTTCAGCAGCCCCTGAACTCTCCCTAATGTTTTCTTATGTGTCCGTGTACACAGAGTCGTTTACAGGCAGTAGAGTTTAGTCTTTTTTTTTTTAATGCACCAAAATTGCATTCAGCAGTAGATTTTACTGGTGTTTCAAACGCCAAAAGCTTGTAAACACGGTTAATTGCGTTTATAAGCGTTTTTTTTTAACTGTTCGATATCCAGATGCTGTCCAGAGCCTTTTTTCATTACCAGAAATGCATGCAAAGTGTTTTCCATGTATTCAAATGAACCCGGAACACCAGCGCAGTCAGTTCCAGGTTTCGCGTGAAGGAAAAAAAAGATAGAACGTGTCGCATTATGCCCATGATGGGATCCATAGTGAATACAACCAGAAAAGACAGGTCATCTCAACACATACTGCTCTCTCTGCTTCTTCTCTCTATATTCCTCTCAAAATGTCTGAAATAGTTAATTATTTACTGTTTTTCAGTGCGTTCTGGGGATTTGGGAAGGTCTCCTGAGGTTATCATCTAAAAAACGCTTCTAAACGCAAACGCGGCTAAACTGACGTTTTTTAACCTACAATTTCCAGCAGTCAGTTTCCATTGTACAGAAGAGTTTTCCAAACGCCCCGTGTACATGAGCCCTAAGGCTGCAGAGTGCAAAATCTGGTGCAATTCCGTATAGTGACCAATCAGCTTCCGGGTTTTATTGGCAAAGCTTAACTGAACAAGTTAGAAGCTGATTGGCTCCCCTGCACAGCCGGACCAGATTCTGAGTGCACCAGTTTTAGTAAATCCACCCCATAGTTTCCCAATGAACACTACTAGGGGCTGTTTCAGCACACATTTCACAGGCATTTAGCCACTATCCTGAAACCCACCCTGAGAAATGCCATAATAATAATAAATAGGGACAGAGAGAACTGGCTGCACAAATCAGTTTTCCAAACGCCCCGTGTACATGAGCCCTTAAGCATTTTGGTTGTTTCCCCCGTACCCATTCTCTACCCAGCATCTGAACTCAAGATGGAACCTCTCTACACCTCAGATCTGATAAGTGGCCTTACTGTGGGAGATATGGACAGCATAGTCCATATATACAGCACGTTGGGGTTTGTGACAACAGCCATTTTTGCCTCTTGGCAAAAATTGGGTTGCTGGTTGATCAGCACCAAGCCTGTACACAGTCCGGAAAAGGTGTGCTTACTAACCCATCTGACCTGAAGCTAGCCAAGATTAGAAGACTCTACATGCTGAAAATCATCAAGACATGCAGAAAAGCAATAAAGTAAAAATGAAAATTGCTGTTACGGTAATCAGTGAAGTTACACCACAGTTCACTCCAAGTGAAAATACATATAAAATATGGCAGCCAGGTCTCTGCTTTTCCTAAGTTAAAAGAACGGTAATGCACAAAAGACAGGGATCATGT